AATTAAAATTTTAAACTATGCAGGAAACAAGTAATTAAAATCTTAAATTAACTAGAAAAATAATTAAAACTGAAAACAATAACCTTATGCTTTATAAACTTTTGAAATAATTGTTTCATGTAAAATAGCTGGAGTTGTGTTTATAAGTTTATTTTCCAATGTTCCTTGTTAAATAAGTTCCTTGTTAAATAAAAAACTATTGTGCATAAATCATGTAAAAAAAAAACGTTATGTTAGTGGGATGTGTAAACTTGAATATAAATTGTGTGTCCAGACTTAATTATTTTTTTAAAAATAAGTTCCTTGTTAAATAAAAAACTATGTCCTTTTTAAATTAATAAATATAAAAAAAATTATCTGATAACTTAAAATATTTATAAAATTTGATAATCCAAAATAATAAGTGAAGAGTTTTTATAATAATTTATTGATGAAAATATTGGTACCTATCATTAATTGTATTATTTGACTTTTTTATTAATTGAGAAATTAGTAATTATTAGTGACATGTTTACAAAAAAAACCTTTGCTGAAATTTAAAAAAAAACTTGTTATTCATTTGAATTTATTTAATCGAGTGTGTAATTTTTTTTTAAACCATCACTATTATTTCTATCTATATTGGTACCTTTTTTTTTATCTGGTTCGTTTGATTTATTAAAAAGAATTTCACTATAAAAACAGGTAGCATTCTCTCACTTTATAATTTTTTTTAGTATTATAAATCATTCGATTGTTTATTAGTTAGTAGTTGCCCAATTCATTTGCGTAACGTTACGTAGCATTCGTTTGAGAGGGTAAACTCTGAACAGTTTAGCACCTTCGGATGATTTGGTTAAGAAGATCAGCACGAACGTGATGGGTCTGCTTAAATCTGATGAACTGAGCCAGGCCGTTTTCCAGGTTTGGTTCAGACTTATGATTGGCCTCCATTTTTCCTTGTCATTGCTGCTCAGGCTCACTTCTCTGTTGGGTTTGAGCTCGATCGCTAAATTTTAAACCCGTTCAGCCCATACCATTAGTTGCTATTTTTCTCTTCTGAATTGAAAATCCCCACTTTCTCTTCCTTTATTTTATTCAGGGGTGAGAGTGACTGTCTTGAAAGGAGAATCTGAGGTCGAGACGACGTGCGAAGATAAAATTGCACGCTCCTAGATGCTAACGGCTAGACTCATCTGGGCGGCTGCCTCTGCCTCAGTCACGTTCCCCTTGGGACTTGAAAGGCCAAATAAACAAGGGAAGGGAATGCTGGCGTTTCGGCAATTTCTAGAAACCCTTGCCCTTTACAAGAAGCCACGTAGTAGTCGACAAGTTACTAAAAGTTACGGATAATCGTTTTTTTTCCCCTTGCAAATTCAAATATGATCTAAAAAATTAGGAATAGTACATTTAATAAAAATTTAAAAAATTAATACACCGCACATGAAGAGTGTGTGTACACGCACCTTATTACATTTAAAAAATATATAAATTTTTGACGAAAATATTTTTATAATATTAATATATATTTCAAGTTAAATTCAAATGAATTTTGAATAATATTTATAATCTATTTATTTTTCATTTGAAAAAATAACTATTTAATATATATATATTCGAGTTGAGTTGGTTGAATATCTACGAAGTTTAGATTAAATTATAATTTTTATCAATTAAAAATTCAAATCTTAAAAAAAAAACACATAATATCATTTCTATTAAAAAATAATATAAATTATATTTTAGAATCTCACATAATAGCTTAATCTTTCAGATTGAATTGGTTCTTTAACATGATATTAAAACTTTAACAACCAAGTGATCATAAATTTAAATTTATTTGATAAAAATTAAATATAAAGTAATATGAATTTGTGTAGATTTCAAACCTAAAAGACATTTATCTAAGAGAATATGATGTAAAATAAAATAAATTATACTTTGAGATTTCACAAGATAATATGAGTCTATAAAAATTTTAAATTTAAATAATTTTTATTTAATAAGATGTCTTGTAAAATAATATAAATTATATTTTGAAATCTTAATTAATAATTTAAATTTTTAAATTGAATTATTTCTTTTACAATTTCAAACAAACAAAAATCTCCATGTGAAAAAACCTTTTTCTCCCTTCTAAAATGCTTTTGCAGGACAGATACTTTTCAATTAAAAGTTAAAACCAAATTATTCAACAAACCTTCAAACGAGTTTGAGAAATAAATAGAAATAAGAATTCTTCAGATTGATAGTAAAAGTGTTGGGGAAGGCAGTCTGAAGAACTCGAATTGAGAAACTAGCTGGACATGATGTTTTACGAAGAGGTTTATTGAGTGCTAGATCGGAAAAGAAAAGGGAAGTGATACGTCGAGAGTTTCTCCTTGATTTCGCTTCTTTTTCATGTTTAGTCAATGGTGCTAGTCAGAGTGTTCCATTTTAGAAAAATTGAAAGGAGAGGAGGTAGGAAACACAAACCTCATGGAAATATATCCCTTTTATATCATATTACCTTTTCTAATAGAGAAAGTCTCGTGGATTTACAATTAGATTTAGTTCTGAACTTCAAATCTTCCAATGTATGTCTTACAATAGTATATAAATAATTACAGATATTTAAATAATCACACATATTTAAATAATCACACGTTTTAAAATTAATTACAACTCGATGTTTACTAAGTTTATTTCACTATTCGGGTTGTGGGCCTCTTATTAATGATATTTGTGTGTTTTAATAGCTATTAATGATTTTTTTATGGTTCAGTCACAAATTGTGTTAGCTTTTAGTTTTTTTTAGTGTAATTTTTTTTTATTAGTTATCTTTAGCATCTACTAAATCTTGAATTTTTTGATTAATCAATGTGATACTTTTAGTTTATTTCTTGGTTGTTGTCTTCTTATATTTTTATATATAAGAGTATACTTTTGTTTTTTCTGTTTTTGTGTGTGTGTGTACATGCATGTGTACATATATTTGACTTATTAATTTTCAGATCTGTTTTATTTTTATCTATTATATTTTTATATTTAATAAAAAAATTATTTAGCAAGTAAGGTTTTTTTTTTTTTTAATAAATAATCACTTTTGATTCCGAGAAACGGGAGAGAATAATCTAGCGGAAAGAGACACGCACAGCGAGTTTTCCTCTACAGCGGTCCTAAACACAGTTCTATCTGTACACTTTGTCATCCGTTAACTTTATTTTTCCAACTGACAGTGATAATAACCCAGGTACAGCCTTGTTGATAGCGAAGTGTTTTTTTTTTTTTTTCCTCAAAATGGTAAAGGCCAAAGTGAGGCCTGCATTTCGCTACGTATAGCCGTTGTTGAAGAGAAAAGAACTCGACAAGGAGAAAACAAGTTGAGGTTTTGTGGTCACTTTATAGACCCTTTTGTTCTATAAAAGAAAAACCTCGGAGAAGCCCCTTTCCCAACCTTTTATCTTAGAATATTATTTTGAACATGTATTAACTGTTCTCTACGAATTTTTTCTTCCCTCTAAATGCAAATAAGAAAACATGCTTCCCCTCCTTTTCGATCTTAAAAATGTAACCTTGAACTCGACCCTAAAAATTAGCCAATCCATCTACAGCCTGGAGAATTCTTAAGAACACCATAATTAGAACATATTTTTCATTTTCTTAATTTAAAAAAAATATCATGATGCTTAAAAAACAAGTTAGATTGTTACCTTATAAACTTTTTCATTCCATGAAAATTAAATTCAGCTTGAGAATGGTTATAAATTTGATGGATTAATTCAACTCATAAAAAATAAAAAACTAACAAAAGTTATTTTTCAAGTTAAATTGATTTTAATTGAATTATTGAATGATCTAGAAGGTCAACAGGATAAAACATGATAAATTTAAGTTTATTTATTAACATGCAGGTAAAACAATGAGCGGGTCAACCAAGTTTCTGGTCGACCCGCCAAGCTGGGGCTGTTTTAACAGACGTGGTTTATTGCTGTTCTCCCTCCCGTGAAAGAATTTCCACCTTTCATGAGTGCTGAACAATTCCCCAGTCCTCACATCGGAAAAAATGACCAATGACACTTACTTCGCGAAACACTACAAAATCTGTGAATGGAAAGGATATTTGAAAATTCATACGATTCAAGTTAAATGACGGTTCAAAAAGCTGGAATCATAACATACTTCTCTGAACTCACAAGAACACACGCCTCATCAGCAGCTATTCATATGATTTCCACTTGGCGATCACTTCAATTTGAAGGGGATTGTTATTCAATTTGAAGGGATCATTATTGCTTTCAAATCCACGTGAAAAGGTCAATATTATGTACTGGAAAATCACTGCTCAAATCCAAATAATTCAGACTGTTCATAAAACCACCAGTTGTGAGAAAAACCTGACCCCTGTGCTAGGATTCTCGTGCCGAAAGTATATTAAATGTCAGAGGATCTGCTGGAAGGACGCAAAACTTTCCACGATGAAAACTATTCTGTCTACTGTTGCTTTTTTATGCACATAAACAGGGTTATTTAAAAAAAAAAATTGAAATAACAAATTTGATAAAATAATACAATTTATACTCTTGTAAACAGAAACAAACTATGAAAGTCATGTTTTGCTATTGTATATAAAATAACACAATTTTTCATCAATTTTTTTTGGTATTCTATACAAATATTTTTAATTAATTTTTAATTAACTGTGTCAAATTTTTTTTTTGAATTCCATAAACAGACAACAGCTATCATGCTTTTTCGTTCTAAAGATGCGGTTTTCACAAAGCAAGATCTTAGTGTTCATTACGATGTAGACAAAAAAGCCATTGAAAAACAACTACTGCTCCACCTTCCCGGGGCCCATTTTTAGCACGTATTGGCGTAATTCACAAGCGAATATCAACAATCCATCATCAGAATATTGCTTTGAGAGGTTCGAATTCAAAAAGGAAACGCAAGGGGG